ACCCAAATGTCCATCAGTAAGAGACAAGATGAATAAACTAGGATACAGATAGAAAATCAGATACTATAAATAACATACAGCTGTTAGCAAGAATGAAGACAATTTCCATACATCATCGTGGAGTGATGACCAGGATTTATTACGGGAAAAAAATCAAGGTGCATATAGTATACACGCTATAACATCTTTTCTACTACAAAGGAAAATACACTTCCATTTTTAAAGAGAAAGGAAAAAATTATTTTGTAAAAATTGGTTATTATGAGTAAGAGGAAGGGCAGAGTAGAATGGATAAGAATGTAAATAAATCAGATAACTTTCAATGCATCTTGTTATATGCTATCAAATGAAATGATATAAATCTTTGACATTTGGAAAAAAAGTTACATAATAAAAAGAAATTCCTACATACTACAACATCCTTTACTGAGTGCAAGGCAGAAGCCTGCCAAAAGCATAAGACATGGCAGGAAAGCTGATGTGGAGAGAGATTTTGCCACGGTGCGTAAGGTTTTCCTCGAGGGCAAGGAAGTAGTTGACTAAAGTCTGGAAGAAAGGCAGGAAGGTAAAGAAGTATTTCTTTTGCCAAAGGCACACGGGATCTTCCCCAAGGGAAAAGGAGCAGCCCACTGAAAACGTGAGACACGGCAAAAGGAATGAGAAAAAAAATAGCCCTGAGGGACCCAGGGTTCTTCCCCACGACGACGAGAAGCAGTCTGCTGAAACCTGGAGGCAGGAGAACTGAGAAAGATTCCTCTGGAGCTCATGGCACCCTTTCAGAATGCAAGCCATTGGCCAGTCCCAGGCTGCACACAGGAAGTCAGTATGGAAACAGGTTCTCAAAGGCATAGAAAGTTGGCTGGAGAGGGGGATTGTGGCAGTTAGAAAGCAAAAAGATTTTCCCTGCAACTCAATAAGCTTGCGGCTGGACTGTAAACGAAAGGGGTAGGGGGGAGAATGAGAAAGTGAGTGTGAGAAAGCAAGAATAGGCACGCTATGCTGCAGGGAAATCCTTGTTCCTGCCCTAAAAATTACTGAAGGCAGTAGTGAACTAAAAATAACTGAGACAAAATCCAGATCCAGCTCAACTACAGATTAGCAACATGACAGAGGAAATGGTATATACATTTTTCTAGGGGTAAATATTATCTCAGCCAGTTTCTCATTTTAATTCACAATGTCCAACATAAAATCACAAATTATAGTACACACAAAGAAAAATATGATTCATGATCAGTGGAAAACATAGTCAATATTAGCAAATATCTGGATGTCCTAGCTATTGTAGCTAATAGACAAGTACTTAAAACAGCTATGATAAAAATATTAAAAGATCTAGTGAGACAGGTGGATAACATGCATAAAGATAGTGGGAAGAGAAATATGGACACTATAAGTAAAAGTGAAATGTCAAAGCTACGGAGGAAAAATGCAATATAGAAATAAAGAATGTATTTGACTGGTGTAAAAGTAGACCGGACACAGCACAAAGAAGACTCACTAAACTTGAAGATAGGAAAATAGAAATTGTTCAAATTGAAAAACAAAGAAAAAATAATTAGAGAATCTGAGCCCTATGGACAGTATCTAACAGTTTTTGATATGAGTAACTAGTGTCCCATCAGGAGAGGAGTAAAAATGGGGCAAAAGAAATACGTGAAAAAATAGATGCTGAGAACTTCCTAGAATTGATGGAAGACTTAAACTTACGGATCAAAAAACCTCAGTGAACCCCAAGCAGAATAAATACATAGAAAACCAGGGAACATAGAGTAGAACTTATGAAAACCAAAGAAAATCATAAAGGCATAATTCTCTGATCGCCCCCTCCTTCCCCAATAGGTTATAGAGCAGGAACGGCAATAAGCAGGACAGC